GGCCCTAATGCTCCGAAAAGGGAGAAGAAAGCAGTAGATCAAGGAAAGATTGGTAATGGAGTTGGGAAAAATCAAGCTAACATGGACCCATTAGGGATGTCTAAAAGTAGCCAGAATACTCCAGTGTCAAAAAGAAAGGAACCAAATGCTGGAGCTGAGAATGGAAAATCAAAAGTGAGAAAGACAAGATTTGGTGAGGAAGACGATGAGGATGACAAGGGCGAGAACAGTGCTAAGAAACAACGTCTGGTTTGGAACCCAGACCTTAAGTCGAAGTTTACAGCTGCTGTTAATGCTTTAGGCAAAAATGGTGATTTCTCACTCCTTACAATAAGTTATTACTTTAATTTTAATATATATATACACACACATGTATATGCACATAGTATATATAATGATATCCTTTGTTTTCTACATACAGATGCTCGTCCAAAGACAATACTGAATATGATGGATGTTCCAGATTTGACTCAACGCCAAGTTGCTAGTCATCTACAGGTTCCTTACTATAACCCTTTTTCTGCCATTGTTTCTTAAATCCAAAAGCTATTATCTGCTCCAGAAATATAATTAACTTGCAATTAAGAAAATTTCCCCCCAATTTTTTATATTTAAAAAATATTTTTATAACTAAACGAATAAAATATAAAATATTTTTTATAATAATTATATCTAAAATTTTCTTTTTATAAGTTCAAAGTAAAAAAAATAGATAAAATAAATTTATTTTTTATTAAAAATTTATATTTAAAATTTTAAAAGTAAGTTTCACAAAACACAAATAACTATTTTTTTAAATATTAAATAATTTTTAAATAAAATTATTTTTAGTCAAAATTATTTTAAAAATACTTTTAAAATTCACAAAAAAAAATTACAATCTACCCAAACAGTCACTAAAAATTATAAGAATAATTATTAACATCTAATTTTCTTTCGCTTTTATATTGTATGTAGTCAGGTTTATACATGTATTAATTATTAATCTTTACTACCTCAAAGAATAAATTTAGTTAAATATTCGTAACAAAATCAAAATTAGAATGTAATTAACATACGATTCGGTACAATTTACGGAGATTTAATTTTGAATTTTAAGTCAAATTGTAAAAATTTTTATTAAAATAAATTTGAAAGTATGATTTATTGAAATTTACTATACATGTAATATATGGGTTTTTAGGGTCTCAATTTTGGTCATAATGGGCAAATGTAATATACAATTTATCAACCATACACTATGAAATTTTGCTTTTTGATTTTTAAATAATATATATTAGTATATATATATATATATATATTCTTTTTTTCCTTGAGTCAATAACAATAAAATTCTCCTATTTTCTATTAATTATAAATTTTATAAAATTATGCATGCATAGTAGAAGAAGTACAAAACTCTTATGAATGTAGGGAAAATGTATACATTATAGAAATAATTATAAACAGATTAGTGTACAAATACATTGAAAGTTTGATATGTTGGTTGAAAATCAGTCTACGTATATATAAATCTTATTGTTATATTATCACTGATGAGTAACGGAGTTGTGTTTCCAGAAGTACAAAGCTCAAGCTCAACCCCTTCCTGAGTCCAAATTTCCCTTGACATCCTTACTACTTGGCAACCAAATCAATGATTCTGGACCAGCACTGCCAATGAGGGAAAACAGTTCATTGCTGCAATCGAGATCTCTGCAAAATCGAGCACATAATAGCAGTTCATTTAGGCAGTTCCGATCATCATCTCAGCGGCTGCAGATTAACAATGCGAGGGTGCAAGCTGGATCTTCGCGACCATGGCTGCAAAACAGCAATTCAGTGCTGCAACCAGGGTCACCAGCACTAGCTATGCCGGGAAACAATTCAGTGCTGCAACCAGAGTCACCAATGCTAGCTATGCAGGGAAACAATCCAGTGCGGCGACCCGGATCAGCATCCTCACTAAACCTGCAGAATAATATTTCAATGCTGCAATCCGGATCATCAGGAAACATGCAGCATAATATCTCGTTGCTGCAACCAGGATTTCCATTCAGATGGCAGCAAACTGATGTTCCTATGCTGCACCCCGGAGCAAATGAGAATTACTTGATGCATATTAACAATTCATTGTTGCAGATTGGATCCTCATTCAACAATGTTCAAAACAATGCATCAAGGATGCAAGTTGGATCATCATTTGGAGTACAGACTCACACTTCGATTCTGCAGCCTGGATCATCATTAAACTGGGTGCAGAATAACTTACCAATGTTTCAACGAACACCCTCGTTTAATTTCTGGGGAAACAATAAATTGCTGCAATGCGAGTCATTACTAGACGAGCCGGATGAGGATTTGTTGTTGTATCATGGACCACTACCACAATGGCTGCAGGAAACTCTTTTGGTGCTGCGACAGGGATCATCATCATCATCACATGGTTTCCAGAATTACATTTCAATCCTGCAGCCTGGATTCTCATCACATAGTATGAATTGGGTACCAATTCAGCTGGGAGGTGGAAATAGTGGACTTCCTTCTGGAGGTAATACTATACAAACTCGATTTTCTCATCCTATAGTAAAGTAGGTGATTCATTTACAAGTTTCAGAACACAAACTAAACATGATAAGTTGTTTATATTTTGACATTTCTTCGTCTGTCATTTGGTCAGGTATATTTCCATTTGGA